GGATCTGCCCTTGACCGAAATGTATAGATGAATTAATAGGTAAGCTGATTAGGTTACACTGTCATTAGCACCCTGCATATGAAAATCATTTGAATCTTTTCCCATTAGAACCCCTTAACGTACGTTTCTGCGTGACCACATTCAATTACGAGTACCTTTCACTGCCACTGCGGCCTTTCAGCTATTTTGACTAATTATATCACACTGAAAGGTAGTTAATGCGTTTTTAACTTGATTTCATTATGTTATTTCGGAGGCCCCAGAAGTTTCGCACCTTCTCAGGTAATTAAATATCCATTTGGGGCTTATTCCACATGTTTCCTCAAAATAATTAAATTTTGAAAAGTTGTTCGCAGGTAGAGAAGCTTTTCAGACAGATTGTAAACTAGTCCGGATTCAAATGCAAAAAACTGGAAAAGCCCTGTTAAATCGACTGACCCAGAAATAAAAAACGTTTGATCCTGGTTGGCCTAAAAACCAAAATGTAAAAACCTTCAAGCATAAAGAGTAGATTAGGAATGAAGTAAATATCAGTTGGCTTTCTGGTCTCCATTATTATGGAAAAGCTCGTTAGGTTATCTGATGTTGGGAATTGCAGCGTCCACATACTAATGCCGCATTGTCTGTTATAATGGCAGTTTTATTCCTTGTCAAGCCATTGAACGCGACTGTGTGTTATTACAGATAACCCAAACTCAAATTAAGCCCATGCTTGCTAAAAAAAACTTAGAGAAACAACGTACGGTACAGGGTTGGTTTGATTATTTTCAAGTGATTTCAATCATGATTTAAATCACCTGACTAAATCAAAGTTAATTTTATCAAGAAACGTTATATTTCCACTCAAAAAATATAAAGCAGAACACAAATAATTCTAAGAAATGAAAATCAAAAATGAAAACGGTATATGTGAACTCAAAAATTAAACGGTATTAATGGTCAACTCGGTAATACTAAAACGGAAATCACTTCTCTTTCTCTTCATTTTCGTTATAAAGTCTGAAGAGGGACACTAATTTCCCTCCTTTTTCGATTCCCAATCTGTTCCTGATATCCGAATGAACAAATCCGAATGTGCTGAACATCCTTTCGACAGACGCAGAAGATGCAGTGGCACAAAGAAACTGTTTTATAGTCACGGGCGGATCCAGGTGGGGGGGTCATGGGGGTCATGACCCCCCCCCATTTAATTCTCTATCCAACGGTGCCAAAACGAATTTTGTGGCTCGAATAGTTCTTGAGAAACTTCGAAAAAAGCAGCGTCATGTTCAAGTGGATTTTGCAACTCAAAAAAAACCACGCAAATCTAAAACTTCTTGAATTCAAGC